TATACATTCTTCACACACATGCACAAAAATTTTCAGAATTTTCTGGTCTTGTCTTCATGACAAAAATACTATTCTCTGCGTCAAAAAGCGATCGTGAAAAACCCGGAAGTAGTTCCGGCCGCTCAATAAACGCAAATGCCAATCAATCAACGCAATGAAATGTTAATCGGAGAGTAATTTATACATATCCAGTCTTAATACAAGTGCACGGAAGTTTTCAGAATTTTCCGTTTACGTTTTCATGACAAAAACACTGATGTAATTCGAGAAAAGGCGAGCCCGAAAAACCCGGAAGTAGATACCGGCACATTTTAAGATACCGGCACATTTTTGGACACATTTGCAGAAGATCAAATTTTGGATTTAGGTTAGGTTTATGTATGGGTCACTCACCGCTGATGTTCAGAATTCTTTGTTCAGTTTTCATGCAGTTCCAGAGAGTTCTAGTTTGGAAGTTCCCAGCCTAACTGTTGCTAGCATAGCCACGGGAAAGCCTTTGGGAACTATTTTATTTTCTGTCATTAAATAAACCTTTTGGCATTCCTAAAACTGGACTGAAGTTTATGTTGTGTGTTCTGTTGGTATAAAGCCGTATAATAAGCGGGATAACGTATGTTACGCAGGTCATTATCGGAAAATAAGTACCTTCAGGGCGGGGTCCGCTTCGCCCTGTCGGTACTTATTTTCCGATAATGACCTGCGTAATATACTTTATCCCTTACATATACGGTATATTATATTTTCATATATTTTTATATTGACAACAAGCTGAAAGATACATGCTTTTTCCATTAAAAACATTTTCAGAAAATACTCACATCACAAGAAAACTTCAATTCAAATTCATTTTTTAGTTTGCAAAGATTACAAATAATTGTCTTGGTTAATTGCGACCCCAAAAAAGACCGTTTCAAACTGATTGCAAAAGATCTGGCAGCCCTATGTGTTTTTCTCATTTCTGTATTTTTCCACTCTTCCTTAAACATGAAGGACTGAGAGGATTCACTGAGGATGGACATGATATTTGATATGTATTTATGTGTCGCTTGAATAGTCTGTTATATGTTTAACTGTCAGCGGCCATATTTTTCCTTCATCCAGACACCATCTTTTTCGCACTCTTACACTTGAACCTCATCAAACAAATGATGATGTTTCTCTGCGGGCTGTATTTCACCGGTCTCATAACACTAAGACATCTTAACGTTCAAAATCAACATCCTAGAAAATCTTATTTGTAAATTCTCCCAGTTTTATAGCAGCGTTTCAGCTGAACACGGAGGGCTTACAAGGACAGCAAAGAAATGGATTAGAAAAGAAATCAAGATTTATGGCTTGTACTTAATTAAAATTCCCAGAAACTAATGGTGAGAAAATGGAAGCGTTCCTTATAGATTTAATTTCCAATGTCTGGTTTCCGTGTGCGGTGTGGCAGACTGTGACCGTCTTGTGATATCTCCCACATAACAGAGCTGCTAACATGTAATTGCAAAAACCGGAGCCATCTGAAAGTTGTCAACAGTGACTTTTTCCTCCACTTTCTGTCTGCAGAAGTAACCCAAGTCCATTGAAATAAACTTTCAGCGCTCCTTACAACTAACTTTTAATATTTTAGAACTGCGCAGGCTGTCAGTGACAATAAGCAAAGAGCAGCCCAGTTGTCTGATTAACATTAATAAATGATGGTTTTGGAGCAAAGTAGATTTTTAGTTAACAGAATAATTCATGAAACCTGCTTTGAAAGTCACTGCATGAAACTTTTCTATTGTTTGTGGAGAGATTTCCGAATCACAACTCGGCTACAATTTAAGAGGAACACCCTAAGATTAGTTCCAAGCATCAACAATTTTGAAATACAATAAAAACATCTTTGATCTTGTCTGTAAATAATAGCGTTGGGAAATCTTGTCAAAAACAATGTGTGAAAAACAATGCGCATCGGAGAGCAATTAAAATATGAGATTTATTTGTTTTAGTATTCAGTGCAGTAACACGTTTTGTGTTGGGGATTTCATTATTCTAATACTGTTAACAAACATCTTTTATGTAATAGGTTTTGTGATTTGAAGAAACAAGTCGAGATTATTTGGCTAACTGCTAATAGTGAGTAAGTGGGTATGGTTTTTATTTGTCATTGTGGATAAAAATCATTCTTTAAAGCTGAGGTACCTAACTTTCAAACCACAAACTATGTCATAAAATCCAACAATCCATGTAGTGAAATAGTGACCTGGTATCCGAGCTTAAACTTCAGCACATTATTAAATGTAGCCTTAAATTAGTTTTATTAGTTGCCAGATAGTAAAGAAGCACTACAGTCACTTCATGTATTCATTTTAATTCATTGATCATTTTTACTGCTGTAGAATTATTAATAACAATACATTCTATACACACAGGGTGCTTGCTAAAGTCTTGAAAGTCCTTATAAGTATGGAATTTTGTCTTGAATGTTGTGTGAAAGTCTTAATAAAGTATGGAAAGAAAATATATGGTAGAATTTTACAGTATGCTCAAAGGCATTGTGAAATGAGAAATAGGAAGGTAGGCAATAAAACTAATTTTACTAACTGGTCACGTACTGTATTGGCCTAATGGAATGATTTGATTTTTGTGATGCCACTGCTAAGGTCTTAGGTGAAAAAAAAAAATCAGTTTTAAAAAAATCATTTTTTTTAACATTTTTTTTATTGGCATCAATACTTAATATATGGCTATATTACGCATCTCCATTCTATTAACCATGAAATCAAGAGTATTTGTTCTTTTATTTATGCCATAAATTGACATATTGTATATTTCTGACCAATATATCAATAATTGTCATATCGTGATAAAATCGTTATCGTAATATCGTTATCGTGATATTATTGTTATCGTGAGCTTTGTATCGTGTATCGTATCGTATCGTGAGGTACCCTTAGGTTCCCACCCCTACTGTACACAGATGACCCGGGCAGTTCTCTCTCAAAAGATCGGAATAGCGCCACCCTCTACACATTCCATTGTTCTTTCCTGACGTCACCATTGCCACCGTATTCTGGCATACAAAACATTTACATCCTCTTACATTACAGCGCCCACTGAATCCATTAAAACCACTGTCACCTACCCACACGAACACACACAATAGCACAGAGCTCTCCCCTGTCCTCATCTCTGACAGTAATGGGGGGAAGTAGCAGCAGCCTATTGCCCATTATAAGGTGTCACCATCCAGGGTTGTTTGTTGTTACCCCCTCATGCTCTGAGATGGATGTCTGCCATTACCCATTGTACCTTTGGCATCAGACTGAGACCCTGTGACCTGTCCAGGGACCACCACTGCTTCAGGATTACCAATCTATCAAACCTTGTGATGGGGCTATCTCGTGGAGAGCCCATACAATAGATGTGTGTATTGTCTCTAAAGCCGCCATCGAGACGCTAGTTTGGTGTTGTGTATTAGTGTCATAGTTTTTCTACCTTTTTGTACAACTGAACATGAGAAATGGTCGAAGCTTTTGACTTATGATAGTCTATAGGCACGACGTTGATTCAATGTATAGCATACGATTAAATTAAATGGTTTCTTGGTTGATCAAATGTTGTACTAACTATTTTCTTTGCAGTTACAAAAATAAAAAAACTGAAAATTAGGAAATTAGCAAGGCAGCTCAAACTCTCAATTTGCATGTTTCATGGTGTGGACTTTTTTTATTTCTTGGTTTTTCTTTCAAAATCATTTTATATCCTGTTCCATGTTGATTATATGCCCCGCCCTAATGTGGTTCACCTGTGTCCCTCTATTTGTTGCTGGTCCATTGTCTATGTTTGTCGCTTTTGCCTCTGTTCCTATAATCAGTTTTTTTTGTTTCATTTCCACCTTGGTCTTGAATTTTTTATTAAATCTTACAAAGTTGTCGATTCACCAACAACAAATCAGAGAATCAAATAGTTAGAACACAGGAAATGCAATAATAGCAAACCCATAGGAGCCATTGGTTGGTAGGGAGCACGATGACCGATGTCCATAAATGTTAATAAATGTGCTCGGATCATTACTGTTCTTAGTAAGTAAGTAAGTAATCTTTATTTATATACCGCCTTTTCACTGCACATCGGAGTCTCAAAGCGGTTTACAATTGTTATTTTTGGGAGTGGGGGTGCCAGTACAGGAGGCACATGCCAGACCTATTGTACATATTTTTAGTGGTAGGGGAAACCGGAGCACCTGGAGGAAACCTACGCAGACACGGGGAGAACATGCAAACTCCACTCAGAAAGGCCCTGGTCCAACCGGGATTCGAACCCAGGACCTTCTTGCTGAGAGGCGAGAGTGCTATCCACTCAGCCACCGTGCCGCTGTTCTTAGACTCTCCTGTGTTGGGGAGGAACCACTAAAAATAATAAAAAAAACCAATGAGAAAACGGTAAGAAAAAAGTGAGAAATGTCTTTGAGGCCCATATTGAGAGAAAGATCCGTTCCCGTGGATAGACAGGCTATAAATCCAAGATAAATCCGAGGCTGTAGAACGAGGACTGAGGCAGCTCCCAGGCAGGTCATCGCCGAAGGGAGACCAGTCCACAGGTGCACTGACTCTACGGTGAAGAAATGGAATATTGTGTCTAGCATAAACTAAAACCCATCATCTCACTGAAGTCTCCAAGTATTCATCAACAAACATAAACACCCACACACGTCCAAAACGACTGTTTCTGTCTGCAAACGTGTCCAAAACTCTCATGAATGCGTATGAATGCTGGCTTCTCTCCTAACTGCGTCTATGCAAATACATTAACAGCGGAAGGGTCTATATTATCTGCATCCGCACGGCCCATAACTGCCAAGACGAGGGAGCTAAATGGAGATGTAGTGGTTTAGGAATAAGCACGCGTGTCGCCTTGACCGCGCATAATGAGGATCTCCAAATCGCTTTGCTTCTCCTTGACCGTGCTCAGGGGTGTATCGGCTCACAAAAAGGTATTAAAGTTGATGAGGTGATTTGAAAGTGAGCAATATGACCAATGGGCTGCACAAAGGACCCCTCCCCGGCGGCGGATACACGCTCCCTACTCCCACACGCACAAACCGAAACGAGGATGCAACTCTGATTGATGAGCGGCGGATGTCCAATCGGCGATTTCGCGAAGGCGCTTGGGCAGTTACTCTTTTCGCGATATGGAGTTGCAATTTTGTCTCTGGCGGGGGTCAATCCGGGGTTGCTCGGCCGGAGGGTTGTCGGTGAGACTCACTGCGTCCGGTGATGAATGGTGATGGAAGCGCGTTTCATCACGGCGTGCACAGCAGAACACGTGAAGCCATTTCGAATAATTACTGATCGCCTTGTTGCTCGTGACAAGGAGATCAATTGGAATAATTTTGGTTTGGAAAGCGTTTTTTCACCACAGAGGAGAGCAACGGACAAATGGCATGATTACAGAAGTGTAGAAGTCTGTACATTTCTCCATTGTGAGATTAATAAAGTTTATCTCATCTTATTTTAGAATATCCTTTTAAGTTATGTTGTGGGTCTAGTTTACTCTAACTGGACTCGTTCTGGTCCATGTGGGGAATTTTTTTTTTTGCATGTATGTTTGGATCTAAAATCACCAAAAGAGTCAACATGGGTCTACTCGTCTTTCGAAACAGATCCGAGAAGCATTTTTTCCATGTGAACCAGACTTACTGTATATCCAGTAAAATTGAGCCAAAAGTGAAAAAGGGCTCTTAATTACTTTATTATTACCGGAAATTATTATAATAAAAAAAGCAACAAATAAACACAACTTATTGACTACTGCAAATTGGATCTGGGCAATACATGCAGACAGCAAAATAATGTGTCAAGGAGAACAAAAGCATCTCTGAGTTCCCATAAAAGCGCTATATAAGTTTGATGTATTATTATTATACAAGAAGTGAAGAAAATGACAAAGTCTGGTATCATGTCACAGGCAGAAGACATGTTTTATTGATATTAAAACGATAAGACCAAAGTTTTACAGAATGCACAGGGCTTTATACAAGACAAAACAGACACTCATCTCAAAGTCCTGCATATACTGGCACTAATAATCGACCTTCAGACAACCAAAACATCCAGTGGAAAATCACCAGCTTCTGCATACTGGCAAAATGATGAGTTCAGCTTTAGCTATAGTTTCTTCAAAAGCGTTATAAAAGATCCAAAGAAGGTTAGTATGCAAAAGACAAAGGCATTTTAGTTGTAAGCAATGAAATAATCTGGTTCTCTGCTCTCTGCTCTGACATAATACTCCATGTTCATTATTTCTCACCTTTTAGAGGAAGTCTATCTTGACTTACACAGCCCGATGTACAGTGGCAGCTTTTACAGTGCATTAGTAGAGACCTCATAGTCGATAATGTCCTCCCTTGTGCAGAAAATAAGGGCCTCAAATCTACGGCGCTCTGTGGCTGTCACTGGTGTCCTGCCGTGATGTTGTTCGGCCCAGCGTGCACACCACAGTTAACAGTCAAAAGCAGGCTCCAGCTAACAGCCAGTGGATTTATAAACCCTATGAAATGCATTAGGGATTTTAACCGCCTCGTTTTTATAACCGTGGCCAAAGAGAAGGTCATATGTATTTTATAATGACGTTGGCAGCAGGCATCGAAGACAAGAGCGGCTCATCGTGAAACCATTCTTCATAACGAAGACATGGGAATAAAACCCATATGAGGATGTCAAACTTCTTTTACAAATGGTGTAAATGGCTTGGTTTAGTTTATTATGTCTGTGGTCATTTTTAACAAAAAAAGGCAAGAAAACTTTCACATACATTCATTGACTATTAATTCAACCTCAAGGGGATTGAGGCTGTATGTGCATTTATTTTTCTTACACCGTTCAAAAAGATTGGAAATAGACATAGATGTTGCAAATCCCTGGGGTCTATAAAAGCTGGGGTATCTTACTTTATTTATTTGCTCCACTTTTTCATGGTAATGCAACAAAATACCGCAATAATCCGGCAAGTACAATATTAATACATTCCATGAAAAAAATTGTCTTATAAACTCCTACCCCATTGCTTGTCCCAACACAAAGCTGACTTCCATATTATTAGAAAACATGTCATCTTTTGCATACTTATAAGAAAGAACCCCCTGAGTGACTATTTCACTTTTTTGGGGTTGAGAGTTGATTGGCTGAGTGAGGGCGGTCCTCTCTTTTGCACTTTTCTGCCTAAAAAAAGAGACCATTATGAAATCCATGTGAAAATTAGTGATGCAACCAAACCATTCTAAGGAAGTAACTTGTTTTTGTGGTTTGAAAGTTAGGTACCCCAGCTTTAATGAGGTGAAGTCACATAGTACATCATAAGTTATTGTCAGTCCAGTGAAGTAAGTGGGAGCCTTGCCGGAGCCCCTCTCTCTCCCCTTACTGCTGCGGTCACACACTAACAGGTTTTGGGATTGCTAAAGTCTGAGTTCGAGGCCAATTTCATACATCCCACTGTCACTGTTGCCACGGCGCCCACCCAGCTGAACCTCCTCCGAGAGCGATCAATTTGCCAAGTCATTGTGCCTGAATCGGGGGGGAATATTTAAAAGCAGCTGAGAGGGCAATCACAAACAATTTAAACTCCAAACAAACCTTTCATGTTTGCACCGAGTGGAACTAGACACCTATATTTGTGTATCGGCTGACATACACACACACATACACACATACACACGCATGCACGCACGCACACACACACACACACGCAGGTTTTTTTGCTCCATCATTCATTTGATGGTGGAACTTTTTTTTTTACGGACCTGAATCTTGTTGCGTGTCATTTTCCTTTTCAGCACCGTCGCTGATAACAACTAATTACTGTAGAACAACACTGTCACAACATGTCTCTATCAAGCAGATGCTCTGTGTTGGTTAACGCTTTGAATCAAATTAAGACTTAATTAACAACATTTTGACTTGCACATTGAGTAGAATAGGATTAAAATGCTATCCTCTGTGGAATTGTCATCTAATGTATCTTCACTTTTTGGAGAGGGTGGCAAAACAGCACCTCTCCCTTTAAGAATTTAGATTTTAATACCAATTATTTTGTGTGTTGGTGGAAGATGTAATTATTCTGAATAATTGTCTGTGGGAAGTGGATGTTTGGGGCTGATATCCTTTCTTATCAGTGGTTAAAACCCCCATCTTAATTGAAAACCAACTCTTTTTTTGTTTGGTGTCCTGCTTTTCTCTGGCTAAATTGATCTGAGATGACCCCTATGGATTTTTGGGCTGTACACAAATAACTTTATAATTGGATTATTGTGTACTGTTGTCTTAAGAAGCCAAATTCATGTAGTTTAGATTGACGGGCAAAACTAGACAACATAAAAGGATATGTATTATTGGTGTAGCTTTTGTCTTTTTTATCTTTTTTACTTTGTCTCTCTCTAAATGTTTAATTTTAGCAGAGGGGAGGAGCGGGGTGCGAAGGAGCATTTTCTATTGCTATTTATTTTTGTATTTTTTTAATAATGTTTTGTGTTTATGTAATTATATTTTATTATTCTTGTTATAATCAAAGTGGCTTTCCTTAAATAAACTTAAATCTATCCAGCCATTCATTTTCTTTCCCTTAATCCATTTCTGGGTCAGGGGGTGGCACCCAATTCACATTGCACCAGCCCCTAACTGATCCTCCTGCAGGTGGTGAGTCCATAGGAAGATGAACTTAAACAATTTGCATATAAAAACAAAAACAAAAATCCATGTTATAGCATACCTAAAGCCATATTTTCGGAATATTTGTTATCACATATTTAAAACCCCAATACTTTCCTGGCTGTGAGATCAGCAGCCGTTGCTGTAGAAACCACCTTTCTTTGTTTGAACTAGAGTCTTTTCTATAAGTGAAATGTGTTTTAGTGCTGCGAGCGCCTGAACCACCTGCACCTGCTGCATGATGGAAAGATTACATTAAGTCTTGCATTATATTCTACTTCCAGGTGACTATGCTTCCACTCTCCTAGTCGACAACAAAACTCTGCATCTACATAAATGTCACGCCATGTGGTAAAAATAACACCAGCGGGAATATGAAAATGGTCAGAGTTTTGTCAGTGACGGAGTGTTGCATATGCTTTAATAGACAAACATGTCAGTCGTCTGAAGCTTGTTAGGGAGTTATGTGCATTAGAGGTCTCTCAACATGATGCCTGTAATGATGAATACCTGTAGTCTGCACTCTCGGGTGTATAGGCCCTGACATATGGACGAGATTTATGCGTCTGCTGCAGGAAGTGCTAAATATTCATCCAGCATCTACATCATCCAAACAAGCTGCTAACACCACTGACTCTGCAGGTTAATGGCTTTGTGCAACAGGCTGTCACCAAATGAGGTTTGGAGCCCCAGAAAAAGCACCGCTGGAAAATGTAGGTGCTGTCTAAATGAATAAACTGAGTGGGAAAATTACCTTGACAAAACTTTTACAACTGATTCAGAATGAACTACTATTATTGTATAGATGCCTGCCCTGTAACGATACTACTGTCACTTCATATTATCATACTTCTGGTCACTATTATGGACAACCTGCACTGTTAACCCTCTCGGGTTCAATTTAGTTTTACTGACAAGTAAAACTGATATTTGGGGAAAATGATCCTATGGGGTAGTAATATATAATATACAATCCTGACTTTTTTTTGGCAGAGAGACCTTCACAGGCAATGCATTCTTGGATGTTGCAGATTTGCAACATTGGCCTGCTGTGGTAAATAGGGCTGACCCGGGGAAAAAACCCAGAGGAGAAATAATATACAAATTGGCATGTACTGTATATATTAATCTTTAATTGTATGCAGTTTTGGTTTCAAACGATTAGAGGTTGGTAGTGATACTGACTTGAAATTGAAGCCTAGAAAATCTGTTTCGGTGAAACCAAGGAGGCAGAAATTTTGGAAATGAGACAGCTTCACCCCTGGTGAGCAGGTGGAAAACTATGTGTTGCTAACTCAACTAAGTCCAGCAGCGGTACTTCTGAGAAAAAAGGGTGGTTCTGAGCAAAAATATGGTCGTGGAATAGTTGAGTCATTAGAAATGAAATTGTTGCAAATCTGCAGGGCCTGTCTGGAGAGGGTTAAATGGCTATTGTGTGTATATTTATGCCTTTTTAAAATCTATTTTTTACTTTTTTGCACCATTAGCCAATGCAAATTCCTAGTGGAATTTAGGAGGAATTAGAAGGTTCACAGTGTGTGAAAAATGTAAAACATGGGCTGTAATATTCATAGAAAAATACAAATTAGTCTATAACCTAAATGGGTTTCACATTTTAATTTGAAATTAACGTTTTAATGATATTAAACATTTCCAAGTTTCATCTGTGTACTGTTCCTCCTCATCACAGACCAATCCTTTGGACAACACGACAGAAACACTTCAGGCCCCAGAGGAGAGCGTCTCTGCTGAAATGGTTTGGAGGTGACAGGCAATATTCTGCCATCTCTGTTTGCACACATGTGACAAAGCCGGCAACCACATCTGTCAAAACACCAATATGAATGTAGAAAAGGCATGTAGGCATGTTCTTAAAAAGAAGAATCCTTCAGACAAGCCCAAACAATATTGCAGAAATACTTAAGGCAGTTGTAAAAAAGAGGAAGAAAAACATATATTTTGATAAAAGGCAAATAATGTAAATCAACATTGTAACGACACCTGGATAATTTTGTGCAAAAAAACTAAACAATTAAAACAATTCACAATTAATAAAGTTTTAAGGATGCACTGTGAGCGGTTCTAAATAAATAAATCAAAAAACATGTTTTCTACAGTGACATAATACATAAATGCAATATAGTAATGCCGCACATAAATGCAATTTCAATTTAATTCAATTTATTATTGTATAGCCCTAAATCTGTATAGGCTGTGACAGTTGCTCGGTTGGTAGAGCATTGACCTGAGCCTGAAGGTTGTGGGTTTGACCACAAGACCTTCTCCACCTACTCCCACTGATGTCTGCTGTTGTTGTGTCCTTGGCAAGACACCAGGTGCCACAGTGGCTGTAAAGTGCCAAACTGACATGTCACTTCACCCCCATTGCCTAGAATGAGTCTGGTATGTGTGTGAATAGTTGGTGGGTCCCACAGACAGACAGGCTATACCAATGCAGGTTTACTTGCCCTGAGCCGACATATTGTGGCCTATAACCCGTGTATGCATATGATATTCTCATTCACTTCATCCATCAGAAATAGTTGCCACTTTCAATCATAAGTGTGATTTGAGACAGCCTTGATAGCTGATCATTAGATCAAGGATAAAGTTTGATGTTTGAGTGCGTGTGCTTGGTGACAGTTCCAGCCTTTATGTGGTCCTTATTGTTTACATTTGAAAATGTCTTACCGCCCAAAAGAGTGGATGGAGTGGTTGAGCCTTATGAATATATAAAGGTTTGGACGTCTCATCTTTATCCCCTGTCCCCTTTAGCAGGAAACACCCAGATGGCAGCGTTTCCCATAATTCCACTGTCGCCCTCTCTTTCTCGGCCTGTCGGTCTTGTCCCCTTCACACTTGTCTCCAAGGCCTCCTCTCACCTTTCCTCCCTCCTCGGCCGGCTTCTTCCCTTACTTGCCGCTCCTGGGATGTGTCTCGCCAACGATGGCTGTGTTTTGACGGTTTTGCATTCAGCCAGTGCCACGTCAACTTCCACTTTCCGGGCTGTCCATCACTGCTGCAGAGGCCCACCTACGCATTAAATATCAACCGCTATGGAGGAGGGAGCGAGGGGGAGGAGCGTGGAGAGGTCATGCAGTGTGCAGCTGGGCTGAGTTCACTCTGGTGGGGCAAAAGGAATCTCTCCATGGGAAACTGATTAAGACTTATGCTCAGTGGGTGTTCTAACCAAAAAGTCAGTGAAAAACATTTTTAATATCCGGATTAAATAAGAATTTGCATATACTCTGCCAAAGACTGTACACATAGTAGTGGTGATAGTAATGGTAGAAGTAGCAGTTGTTTTAGTTGTAGTAGTCACAAACAAAGCTGTATGCAAACAAATAACATACCCATTGGTGACATGGAAACATAAAGCATTGCCCTCCTTAGCATATAATTAACGGATCATTGATTTGACAGAACAGTTTTTTGGAAGTGGTCGGGGGCATTTTCTCATAGACGAGATCAACCTAATTAACTGACTATTTCCCCCTCTCAATGCAACCACAGAGAGGCATTTAGTATTTATTATTTTGGCATGATTGCCTCGGCTGGGTGGTTCTGATGGAGAGGCTCGTAACAGAGCTGCCAGTGCATGGGTGAATCTGCTTTGCCTTCAAACAGAATGTGTAGAGAATCTCCGTGTACACTTAAGGGGGATCACACTTGGTAAAATTGAAGTGGACTCCTGTTCACCAAACAAGTGCACCCAGCTAACCCTACTTTAGATCATCAGTGATATGATCTAAAGATATAGTTGCTATAACACCACAAGTCTGCATTAATATTATTACGTCCTAATAGATTTTTTTGCAGCAGTACAAAACTACACTCTCAGAAAATAAAGTACAGAATTGGACCTTTAGGGGTACAATGGCTTGTCACTGGGGCAGTACCCTCGAAAGGTACAATTTTGTACCCTTGACACAGGGTACTTATTTGTACCCTTGCAATTTGTACCTTACAAAGGCCAATCTTGTACCTCTGGTGGCAACTTTGTACCCTTATTTTGAAGTACAGAAATGGACCTTTAAAAAGGGTACAAAATTGGCCTTTTTAGGGTACAGTATAGTACCGTTATTTATTTCATATATTTGTGTGTGTGTACATTATACAAAAGATAGTAGCAAATACATTTATGAGAATATATTTTTTATTTTCAAATTTCAATTTCATTTCATTTGATTTCATTAACTTTAAACATCCTTAAAACTGCATACATAAAAATAACACGTGACAGAAGATCTTACATTTTCACGTTACTTTTGTACATCTTTAAATACTATGTCGAAGTGTGACATACAAACTATTATCCACAGAATAAGTGTCAACTACTTGGAAGTCCATTTCATCGCCTGGTTTTAGTAACGTCCATTCTCCATCAACCTTTACACTGTATGCATGAAAGTGACTGTCATATGACAGAGGAACCAACATTTTACCACAAAGGAGCCACAAGGTATCAATGTTCAAAATGTACTTGATCTCCCAAAACAGTGGAATTTTCTCTGAATAATATACACAATTTATCATCTTAAAAGCGCATTACTGTCCTCATAGAAAGTACAGATACATTTTCTATTTTTAAGGCACTTCACATCAAGAAACCATTCACACATTCAATACCAGTGTATGCAGACACTGGTCTGCTACAGCCGGAGCTCCATGGGGGTTGATTGAATGATTTTGACATTGTCTCAAATGTGAACAATCTTTACGATCTTTACGATTTAAGCAGAACCTTTTGAGCAACATTGGCAGAATGCCTTCTTTTACTATGAGCGGTGTTCAGCTTCCTGATGGCCTTGTGAATGAAACTGTTTTTTAAGTCGACTGGAAATGTTCCGTAAATTCTGCAGTCTCCTCCCTGAAGGCATTACCCTGAAGAGCCTGTGTGATGGGTGCGTAGGGTCCCTGGTGATTCTGACGGCTTTGCGGGTGAGACGGGTGGAGTATATGTCCTTAATGGTGGGGAGAGGGGCTCCACAGATCTTCTCTGCTGCTCTCACGATGCGCTGGAGGCTCCTTCGGCAGGAGGCAGTGCTGGTGCCGTGCCACCCAGTGATGGAGCTGGTCAGGATGCTCTCTACAGTCCCTCTGTAGAAGTTGCCCACAACGGAGGCCGGGACTCCTGTAGCGCCTCTTGTGACGCCTCCACTGTGCTGCAGATGCGTGGGGCCCTCTGTGACCTGTCAGCGCTTCAGAAGATGATATCTCTGGATTTGTAGGTCTTAAATACTGCTCAAAAAGCCTTTAGCTCAGATGCTAAATGTGTGTTTACTTTTAAAAACACATCTTCTGTTCATTGCTAGCAAAGAGCTTTGGCAGTAAAAAATCCGCTGAACTCCACAAAAACATGGCAAAGATGTACAACAACATCTTGCAAAACAATGCGGATCACAAAAACTGCAAATGCAGTTTGCAGAAAAGGGTAGAAAAGGGTAGAAACGTCACCAGAGAGAGAAGCCGCAGCATGTTCATGCGCCGCCATGGTAACCAATCTGTTTAACTGGTTTAACCCTTTTTGTTAATTAGAAAAATACCAAATGAGACAAAAATAAAGGATGCACATATATGAAAATTCAAGTTGACCAGACAGTCCATGAGTCAAACAGACAGACAGAGAGATACCCATTGATTTATGAAATAGATAGTTGTTGATTATGAAAAATTAAACTTCTATCAATTAATACTGCATGTCAATGGGAGTACTTTTCTCTGCAGAGAGGCCTTCATTCAGGTAATTTTATAAGCATTGAAAAAAAATAACTATTCTTCAAACTTAAATGAAGAGAAGAAGATTAAAATGGTAATTGACCAATTACAGCAATATGTATCTAATGTCAATGTTGACTTGTACTGACTACATTCTCTAAATCTGCACATATATGTCTCATTGTTCCCTACAGAAACTACTAGAGTCTATTACACTTATGTGCACTTTGTTTTATTTTCTTCAACTTGTGAGTCAGTCGCGGTGCATGATTTGTGATGACAAACACATGTTAATATTCCTATTTCAATCTTGTTGCCATCACGGGCGCTGTGCTAATAAAAAATACGGTGACACAACTGCACACAATGTAGTACTCACTGTAATACATCATAATAAGAGAAAATCCATCTTCATATTATGATGCTGCTGATAGGACACCGCATTTTCACTCTCATTGATTTTCACAGGGATCTGTCGACACGCAGATAATGTAATAAAAGTATGAAGTAATTTGATATATGTTGTAATAAAATCGGTTATATGGAGTGAGAGTGGTTTGGTCAAATCTGTTTAAATTTGTAGGGCTGTAAAACCAATGTATTTCAATTTGGAGGCAACGAAGAGTGCGAATAAAACATTTTTTTTTCCCAAATTTATTTCAGTTGGTAGTTGGCCATTTTGGTAGATTGTCACACGATCATCCATGGTTGAAAATTAATCTTGGTAACCCCACTGACCTAAATTAAAAGACAACAGTTAATATCACAGTATCGCTGTGTCGTATTAAAGGGGACATAACATGCACACTGGACTTTGTACAGATTTTGACCTTTATTTCCCTTTTCATTTTCACACTCAGAACTGTTTTAGAGCGGCCCTTACTTTTTTGAGTAATTGATATTCTCTTTTATACACAAGACACCGTCGCGCTCCCCTGACTGCGAGGAGTCAGCCACCCATGCCCCTCACACTGTTTTTACCAATTTTGATTTTTGAATCTGTGATCTGAAAATGATTTGACAGCCTACAGTTATTTTTGCAAGTCAAAAAATATATGTGTGCCCACTTTGCAACTGAGATCCAAAAGAGTAGGGCTACACTGTGTGGATGTGTCTCTCTTATTACATCACTGTAGCTCAATATTGTCAAAAATGTCTAAAAATGAGCAACAGGTGTCAAAGATTTTCATAAATGGAGACAGAAGCACATGAATTTGTTAGTTATAACCCACTAAACATCCGACGTCCACTCAACCTCCAGATCACGTCAATATCGCGTCGGTCGGTCGTGACCTTTTATTTACGTCCAAACGACGTCTGTGCAAGGTGCGCATCTGGACGTAAAACAATGACCTCCCATATACGTGGATATGACGTTCAATCCTGACCTCCCCTAGACGTCGAAAACAGGTCATTGGCCGACCGACGCAGTACATCTTGATCTAGCAATACAATATATAGGCTGTGAAGCAATATCAGTGAACCTGACGGTAGTGTAGTGGTTAAGCAAACGTGTGCAGTCTTGGTTACGTGGGTTCGAGCCCACGTGTGTGCATTATTATCTTTATATATTTGTTTTGATTTTTAACGAACAATTTTTTTCTGTTTGGTTAAAGACTAATAAACACTCAACATAGGATTACGTAGTGGCTAATAATAAAACTTGTGAATGTATGCATTTGTTGTGCTAACAATCTCAAGTTTGCAAATAAGGGGTGAGCACTTGAGATTTTATGCAAATGCATGGGTTCACAAGTTTTATTATTAGCCACTACATAATCTTATGTTGAGTGTTTATTCGTTTTTAACCAAACAGAAAAATTGTTCGCTAAAAAGTGAAAAGTCAAAAGTTTTCCGACGGGGATTTGAACCCGCGTCGTTGCGACTGAAGTCTCATTACGCAACCGCTACACCACGGCCAGGCATTTCTTGTGGCTACCGTGAAAAAATAATAGATAACACCCTAAACAACCGACGCACACTTATGCGCTGCGCGAGTATAACTTATAACTTTACAGCCTGACATGTGAGTCGCTCGGTCGAGGACCTGTTTTCCACGTCTAAACGACGTAAGGTGTGCATCTGGACGTAAAGCAATGTCTTCCCAGACGTTGATATGACGTTGAATCTGTACCTCTGTCGCTGCCCTGCTTTATTTACTTGGAATCACCCTCTCTAGTAAGTACACAGTCTGCACAGTTTTTAGATATAGATGTATCATTTCCACATTGAAAAGAGTTGGAGACAGAAAGTAAGTTGTTTTCTCACGTATACGTGGATTTTGTTAAGTATATTTTGTATATTATCTGTATTTTGAATTGCCAGTGCATGAATCTATAATAATAACGGCTGGCACTGCTCAGCTGAAAGGGAGACACCTTTTTTAGTTTTTAAGTTAAAGTTTAAAATATGATATTGTTTTTCATATTTCAAACTATTTTTAACACATTAGAATTCTTAGGTTAGACTGTCCAACAAAGTATGTGTTAAAAAAGGTTAAGATTCTTGAGTTTTAAAATAATAATTCAATTCTAAAATGTAAAGTTACTGTATATTTCACAATGGTTTATAAACTGCAAAAAGACAACAGTACTTAGTAAACTAAGTTTAAAAACAGGGAGATCAGCTTTAATATTTGGGACACTCCCATCATTTAGACACCTGTGATGTCATCAGTTGGAGTTGAGTTCAGGTGTGGGACCATGTGGGACCATGTGGGACCATAGGAGCACACAGATGTTACCTGCTGCAGAAAGAGAGTTTAATGTTCATGTATTGCTTTGTTTAATAAATTGATTTAATGTCTTCCCAGGTCTTCAATGTCAGAGACTTTCACTTCTTCTCACTGTGGCTGTTTAAATGAGCCACTACAGTTGTTATTTTTGTTATTGTTAGCTGCAAATATTAAATATCCATTCATCTGCTGGTAGCAAGCTAACTAGCGCTTGCAACTCTATTCAATTTCTTACTTTTTCTTATAAACTTTAAAACCAGCCATATGTTAATTAAAATACATTTACCTTTGCTAATGCAGTCAATTATTGTGAAATCCATAGAGTATAATTTCATGATTGTTGCAATAACTAATGTTCTATGTGTATTCCTAATGTGTCATGTGTGTTTGAGTCTTACAGGTGTCAGACTGTGTTGAAGGTGTTCAAAGGTAAGAATCACACTCTCACACATTGATTGTTCTTCTGTATTATTATGTTGTTTTTAGAATAAACCATTATTTGGTGTATTCTCTTTGAAAACATCTATCTTTTTCTCAGATTGTTCAGCAACTCACTCAAGATGAGGGAAAAGAGCAACAAGGGGAAAATGCCCCCTCGGAAATGCAACATGTGTAGAGTAATACAGGGTAAGTAGCTTTCAGGGCTCATTTGTGTCCATGTGCAAAACAAATGCACATTTGCAATTGGTTTTTACATGGAATTACTCCAATGACCAAAGCCTTATCCCAAGTTTCTCAGACGGAGTGTCTTCCAGTGTCTCGAGCTAGTGCAGTGCCAAGGTTTGTATCACATGGTGATGGATCGAGTGGTTTGAGGCATTAATAGAAAGTTATGTGTTGTTATATCACTTTGCCACATTATGTTGAAACTAAACATGTTCCACATTTTCAGTTGCTGTGCTTGGACCTTATGAGACTGAAGACCAAGAGAGGACACATGTTGGAACCTCAACATTCAATAAATGCATTCTTCTGCCTTTCAGATTGTGTTTTTACATCTGGGGAACCTAGAGTGTAGCTTGTGCCTGTTTTAATACTGATCCAAACATAGGCGCTACAATCATGTTTTTTTACTTTGGCATGAACTGTTCAGTACAGTAGTGTTCATAACACTGTGCCCTGTGTGGTTTAACTTGTACTTTGATGTAGAGAAACATGATTTTTAATGCAGCTCCATTTGCAATAATGACTGATATCCTTCTACTACAGTTGTTCTAATGATTTTTTAATGCTGTGTTTATCGTTTATTGCCCAGAGTCAGAACTAAACATGATAAAGCTGCATTTCAGATTCACAAGGCTAAAATCTGGAACGGTCTTCCTGGAAATGTGAGACAGGCTTCTTCTTTGACAATGTTAAAATCCAGGTTTAAAACACTTCTGTTTCTGCTTCAACTGAGAGATTTTATGAGAGATTTTATTTGTTTCTTTTTAATTTACAGTCAATATTTATAATTGTAATGCCTTGTTTGATTGTTTCTATCTTTTGTTCAGTGCTTTGAGTTTCCTTTTGTTTTGACTGTGCTCTACAAATAAACTTGCCTTGCCTATTGCAAAAAGTATGTCTCGACCAGTGAGTGATTCTGCAGAGGTTAAGTAGGTCAATAGGACTGTAAATGGACGTCATATAAACGTCAATATTTTGGTCATATAAGACGTCGAGAGGACGTCGGACCCGACCGGTTCTGTACCACATTGCAACCTTGAATGAAGTGGCCGCGATGTCATTTGACGTTCATGTCAGATGACGTTGAAATGACATAGTTTTGACATCTGCTTGTTTAGTGGGAACAACGGAAAACGAACGTCATATGAAGGCAATATTTTGGTCATATAAGACGTTGATAGGACGTCGGACCCGACCGGTTCTGTACCACATTGCAACCTTGAATGAACGTGGCCGCGACGTCATTTGAACGTCCAGATAACGTCCAGATGACGTTGAAATGACATAGTTTTGACATCTGCTTGCTTAGTGGGAACGACTGAAAACGAACGTCATATAAACGTCAATATTTTGGTCATATGAGACGTTGATAGGACGTCAGACCCGACCGGTTCCGTACCACATTCAAACCTTGAATTGACGTGCCATCAACGTAACATTTGGAGGTTGAAGTGACGTCGGGAAACGACGTCGAGAAAACTTTCATTCTGCACCCACCAGTGACCTCTATTCTACGTCGGACAACGACGTTCAAATTACGTTGATTCAACGTCGGCTTGCTTAGTGGGAAGCCCATGAACTCATGAACACATAGCTGTACAACCTAAAGACGCAAAACTCAAATAGACTTTAAATGATCAATGTCAGGTTTGATTCCGACCCAAGCAGGAAAATCCCAGACTCCGCCCATTTCCTCAAGTGACTCCAGTTTTTTCCTGAGGATTTGAGGGAATCTGTGTAGTCTGGTGGGCTCCTGCTCAGGTTGGAATCAAAACCCGCAGCCACACCAGCCCTTTCTGGAAACGGTTTGATACCTCTGGTGAAGTACTGAGGCAATGTGAACAAATCAAAATCTCAAAATCTCCCGTAGGCAAGAGGGGGCTTCCACCTTGTAGTTTTTTTCTGCCAAAATCTGCCTTAATGTCACTGTGTGTTCACCAATCCTTTGCCTATGTTTGTCTATCACCTGATTTCAACATCGTTCTTTATCTTTCCACTCCGCTACCATCTGCTCAAGCTGCCTGAGTCAGATCACAGGTATCACCCAGTTGAAGGAGTTTTCAATATTTGACACTTAATTCATCTTTTTGCTTCAGGTGTCGGGCAGAACAGACCTGTCATTCCTCGTTCTTGTCACACGGAGACAGACCGCTGTGTAGAGCCGCCATTCTCGGCAAGCTCTCGCACCATCACTGCACCATTACTGTCATTTAGCCAGAACCAAATCGCATTCAGGATTTGATTTAGAAAAGCAACCTCATTACATCTCCTGCTTATCTGTATTGTTCTTGTAATTGGAATTCTTAATGTCTTCACCAGGTATGAAATTGTGTTATGACATAAGGAGAAATTAATATTGCAGCGGGCTTGGCAGGGATATGGGGATGTAATAGAAAAGTAAACCAGTGCCTTGCCTCCTAATTTGGCTGATTGTGTACGTTATGTGTGTCCTGTTGTGATGATGGGGTAACACGGCTGCATGTGTGAAATGATGTTGTTTCATAATAGTATTGGCACGGTGAGGGGTTGCTATAGTTTCTAATAGCTTCAGCTGCTTTATGCTTGAAATCATCGTAACCATAGTTTATTAGGCTTATAATTGAACGTTTTATGCCAAACAATTGTTAGTAAATGGTTAATATACTTCTAAATTATCTATACCTGTACATGATGTATAATTGAAGTGATACTTTGCAACCTTTCTCTTCAGCGTCAATATGTTAGTCGGTTGTAGTTCTTGACTAGAGAAAATGAAAACATGCTCTGTTCGGATCTGTGGAGGGGTCTACGCCACTGTGACTTGGAGATGTTGGTGTCTGGCTTAGAATATTCTGTCTATATTCATCATTTATATATACATTTTAGACAAAGTAGGATCTTCCATAAAACATAAGGTGTATATTAGGAGTGGACTCACCGAGCGCTGACGTCACCCATGAGGAGGAGTTTGGCTATTTGAGCAGGAATGTGGAGGCAAATGTTCGCAAATGTTGTTGATGGCAACGATTAAGTTACCAAGCACCGATCAGGAGCAGTGCTGGTCTATCAACAGTCAACTTGCACGTGTCAGATAAATCCGAATTTGGTGACAAGAAGGCTACGATTAGTCAGTTGAATGTACATATGAATTAAACATCAGGATTGAAGAGAGTGCGAAACCATGGATTTTCAAAGACCAAAATAGCCAGCGTGAGTAGGAGCAAAACTTCATCCATGAGCACTTCATTGAGTGCGAGGGTTACCATTGTCCATCTATATACAGTCTATGTCATGGAATTTTGTATGAGTATGTTGTGATTAGTTCAGCGCGATGCGAAAACAGCTCTGTGTAAAAACAAGCGCAGCAGTTAGCTATACAATTTAATAGTTTGAATTGATTTTCATCCATCGACTGATGTTTCGTCATACAACGCTGGTCCCATGTTGAGTGCAGCCTCTCTGTTAGCATTGACCTGTTCATTATCTGCTGGAGCCACTCTCCTTCGTTCTCCTTGAGCCTCTTACTTATAACTTCTCCTTCTTCTTTATTGTTCCTCCTCATCTATCATTTTCTTCTTTCTCTCTCCCTTTTTCCTTATCTCTTTGTTATATCCCCTCAATTTCAGTTGGGGCTTTGCTTGTGGCCCCAGGGCCCTTCATTACATGGGGGCCATTTCTTCAACTATACCACTGCTGCAGCCTCTTCTCTCTCCCTGTACCTCTCTGGGATTAGCCTTATCTCAATCTCTGCCACTTGCTTATCTATTTTGGAGACTCTTGAAATAAAGCTTGGGCAGACGTGTGATGTGCTCAAGATTAGCGCGGGCAGAAGGCAGGTATATGGAAATCCTGCAACGATTAGATGCCCTTCCGCCAGTCGGGGAGAGTGGGGGCCGGATCGCTGCCAAGGCCACCGTAGATACGCCTTAAATCCAATGTCCGAAGAAGGTCACACGTAGCCTAGAATCCTGGATATACAGAACATCCAGCGGGCCGAGGCAGCGGTGGATGTTTTGCCTCGATTGACCTGGAAGTTCTTTACAGTTTTTCAGTAAGAGTACAGAGTTACAGAAGTACAATCTTACGTCACCGAAAGTTGCCATTATAGTCATAAAAACAGGTGCAAAGCTGAAGTCGGCATGACCTGATCACTTCCATGTCTGTGTTTGTCCAGTAAGTGAAAGCTATTGTTCATGGGACTTTATCCTTAAGATATTGCTGTCCTATTTTGCCAGTTCTGTATAAGAGTTTATTTTCTGCTCACCATGCACTTTCTCTGCATATTGAGATTGATGCAATTCTGGAAAAAAGTATGTATTTTTGGCACTGAATTGGTACAATAAGAAACTCGCTATGAAACGCAGTCAGTCCATTTGTTTAGGCCCAATGCAATCATTTTATAGTGACATATTTCTACTTTATGGTGAAGTTTTTATGATATCAAGGCCCAAAAAGTAAAGACGCTTATTTGATTGGATTGGTCGGTGAAGTTTATGCATTGTGGACTTCAGAAGTTTTTATGGATGGTTGCTCCTGTCACTTATAGTTAGATGTCAAAGATTTTAGCTGTCATGTCTGAGAAGCATCAAATTCGTTTCCAGTTACAAAATCCTTTGTGAAAAACAAAAATACAACTTGTTTATTGAAATAACACTGGAAACATTCATACAGTACATCCTAAGTGACTGACCTGTAATAATGTGAGATGGAAGGAGAAGCAAGGGAGGCAAAGAAATCTTAATCTAATACAGAATGTGGACCTACAGTGTGTGTGCTGCATTGCCGTAATATAAAATCATAATATACAATCATGAGTTTCTATGGCCTGTGTTTTCTTTCTTGACCAATTGGAAACACACTACAAAGACTGCTTCACCAATAAAAACATGTTATCTTTGTTGAACTCTGATGCCAGACATTTGCAGTAAACAAGTTAGCATTTCTGCGGTGGTCGGAGAGTCTTGCCTTCTTAGCCCAAGTTTGGACAGGTATTGACATATTATTGATTGATGGCAGTGTTTAGTAGGTCATGGACCTCAACAATATCATACTTTCAATTAGATTCACAGAACAGGTTTCAAATAGTCATGATATGGTCTGCTGAGGTTAAGGCAATTTGTCCTCTGCATTTGACCCATCCTGCAATGCCACTAGAGGACCTCTGTCTCTGCAGTGGTTGCTGAAGTGCAGTGCCCAGGGAAACATCTCCAGATTTTGATTCTCGGCTTGGTCAGGACCAGAGCTGGAGGATTTTTCCTATTGTGCATGTTTTTAGTGGTAAGGGAAACCGGAGCACCCTGAGGAAACATACTCAGACTTGGCAAGAACTCGTAAATCTCCACTTAGAAAGACCCTGACAATACCATCCTGCTCTTTGCATAGACATAATTTGGACCTGATTGGATTCCTGAATTTGGACATTATTTGGACTGAATTGGATTGCTGAATTCGGACACAAAAGCGTAACCAAAATTGCTTAAAAGTATTTTAAAATATCCATAGAAGCGAGATGCACGGTGGTACTGTTGAGGTTACAGGACCCACTTTTCACGTTTTTGATGGAAACATTTCTTCTCTGTGTTGCAAAAGTTTCTGACAAATTTGCCTGTCACAGCATCAATTCTCCAATAAAATTACAGCACCACAAGAGAGAATTTTCTTCGACTAATACATTTTCCATCTCGTCAAGATGAATATCAATTTAAAAGATGAAGGCTGCTGCCATTCGAAGGCATCAGCATTAGACTGCACAACAAAGCAGTATCATTAGCTTATTTGAATGTTCACTACTTTTTTTTGTTGGTGCAGTTTTCACCTTTTTTCTGGTTTGGCTAAAATAGCATTGTTTTTGGCAGACTACAGGGTTTACATTTATAGAAAAAGGCTTTAGATAACCAATGCTTCATCTCTGCCTCCTCAACAATAGCCACAGAGCCAATTTCCTCCCACATGCTGCACGGTTTGAACAATATATCCTTTCCTACAATCATAATCCTTTGTTATGAGTTATTTCAGAAGTAACACAATGGTAGAATTGGGGGAAAAAACACATTTACTATAAAGAGATTTAGTTGTTTGTTGTCCGTATCAACGATTTCATCATTTCAAACGACTCAGAACCCACTGGGGCGGCAGCATTCGCTTTGCTACGCATATTCAGATGTCTTGTTCTTTAAATATTACCATTTGAAGGCTAAACATGACTAATCCATGTCCCGAGATACACGGCTGAGATGTTTCAAACCAAATATATTGATTTACTGCTGTTTCATATAAGATTGTACACACTGTTGTCCTTTGGTGCCTCGATTCTTAAGATGATTGTGCAACAAAAGCCTTATGGTGTGAAACTAATTGGTTATTTTAATGAATTATTGTTTTTTCTCACACACAAACAGTCCTCTTAATGTGAAGGGACGACATCCGAAAGTAGAGTGACCAAATGTTTAGAATATAATTTTTCCAATGGCCTCCTTGACCGCTTTTCTTGATGCTAGATCTTCCCTTGATAAACAAACTATACCGAAGCTTCATCTCCTGTTTTAGTTCTACAATTTGTAGAAAATTAGACATGATGCGGATCTGGGATCGTGTTGAAGACAGAAGACTTGTTTAATTGTCGATGGTAAAGACGAGACACGAACAAGGATGTTACACACACATGCATGTGATCCTAAGCATGGAGGAATCAAAGACAGTCCAATCAGCACCTGCCATAGCCTGGTTGTACCACACCTTAGTACAAATTTCATTTCATACTAAGGTCTGGATTTGCTCCATTGAGCTCCGTTAACAGGTGGGAGTGGTTAACTCCTTTTGCAGATTGAAACGATTGGATCTGAGTTTACCATGACGTACTGTATGTAGTGCACCCGAGTGTGTTGTTAGCATTTAGCCTAGCCATTAGGGCTGGGCGATAAAACGATAACGATATATATCGCGATAGACATGTGTTCGATATTAATAGAGAATGGGGTCGATAGAATGTTCGATAGTTTAACTTAACTCCGTCAGGAAAAACAGGAAGAAAACACCGGAAGTAAAGCCGACTCATAAGCGCATGGCATTGTGGGGGATGTAGGCGGAGGCTTCTCGACCAATAACAGCCGAGCAGGAACCGCAAAAACAACAACAACCGCACCATGCGTAGCGTCCATGGATCTATAGCTCGTGTTTCAATGCCGTGTCAATGGTTATGCACGTACGTGCGCGGAATAACATGTGCGGCGGCAGAGGCAGTGGACAGACACGATGTATTTGGCGAAAGCAAGAGATTCACTTTTTCCTCGGGAAGCATGTGCGGCACAGAGAGCCGCACGGAGCGGTCACGGGGACACAAGACCCACAAACAGCTAAACCAGGAGCTAAACCAGGAATAAAAAACCAGGATTAAACCAGGACTAACAACGAGGGACACAGTGTGAACATATTCCTCCAGCCTCATCGCCCCGTGACTGTAAACAAGGCTGCCAAGGTTGGTTAGCCCACACGACAAATATATTTATTTAGGTAAAAAAAAAAAAACTCAATATATATCGTTATTGACCGATATGAATGACTTATATCGTGATATAGTTTTCAGCCATATCGCCCAGCCCTACTAGCCATCTCCTTTGCCGCTAACGGAGCCCGTGGGGAGTAGCGCCACAATCTTGACAGCGATTACATTTGCTAAACATTCCTCTTGCTCCTGCTTCAATTTCTTGATAGAACCAGATCGGATTACTTTAATATTGCATTCTTCGCCATTGCCAAACTACAACCTGCCCGTTCGGCGCAAACTCTTGACGTCACCGGCACCAACCCACAACGCGCTCTCTGAGTAGCCGGTCGAAATACGGCCGATTGTACGGATGGCTATGGCCAGGCTACACCTGCCACCGTGCCAGGAGCTTCGGCCTTCAGATAACCAAAACGTTAGAATGATGATTTCAACTTTAACCACAGTTGCTTCAAAGTGACATAAAAGTGTCTTTGAGGTACTGAGAAAAAAAGCTAAACTTTATGTTTCATCAAATAAATAAGTAAGTAAGTAATCTTTTTTATATACCGCTTTTCACAGACCAGAGTCACAAAGCAGTTTACAATTTTTATTTTTGGGGCATTTGTCTCTCACTCCACACAGAGATGGGAGCGGGGTCGCCAGTACAGGAGGCGCATGCCAGACCTAATATACATGTTTTTAGTGGTAGAGGAAACCGGAGTACCCGGAGGAAACCTACGCAGACATGGGGAGAACATACAAACTCCACTCAGAAAGGCCCTGGTCCGACTGAGTGGATAGCAAACTATGGCACCAAATAAAGTGAATGTTTGGTGCCATAGTTTATATCGTATTTTCTTTTTAACAACTGGTAAAGTTTACTATTTAATGATAATTTAGAACAATTCCCCAAACTATATGATCACATTCCTGCAGAGACAGTGATGTATGACCACAGCAAACAATTGGTCAAGTCTTCCAATTAAGATGTATGCATATTCTGGCTGGCCTAGAGGCTACTTCTGCCACTATGTTGTTGTTAGTTTGACAATGACTGCACTTGATAGAAATGCCAGCTCGTTTGAAAAGCCTCCAACCATCCCTGAGACTTGGCCTACGCTTGTCGCAGATGTGTGGCTACATGTGGCGCTAACCCCGGTCGCACCTTTTGTTTTGTAATATTCCTTCCTCTGGACAAGCAGGTGCGAGGCGAAAAGACAAACCCGCTGTGACAGGGACATAACAGGACAGTGAGAGAAAGAGATGGCAGAATGTGAAAGGTGATAGGGCCATGTTCATCCAACGCCCACTCACACCTCCGAGCTGACAGGGCACAAAAAGACTTTTTATGTAAATGAGGCAGCTGCTTACTGTTTGAGAGTGGAGGATGAGCAAAGAAGGGGATCACAGTGAATGACTCTCTCATGTTTGTGTTGGTCGCTTGAGATTATATTTATTGTGTCAATCAGCGTGTTGCTTCTAGTGGAGAGCAGTAAAAGAAGCAGTATTTCAGTATTTCAATGAGCGGCAGATGGTGAAAAACCATGGGCTAGAAGAGGGTGATTGAACAGTAGACGTAGAGACTTTTTACACACCCTGAGTTATCCTACATGTATTTATGCCAAACTTGACATAAATAAAGTCAATTTCTCCATTGTGAGAGATGTTTATCCTATCTTATCTTGTAATGTATTGTAATGAGTCTATCATGTTATAGTTTCACATTGCAAGTTGAATTACAGGCGTAAATGTACTTTCAAATGATATTTTAATTGATAAATTTCACTTGTATTTCTGAAACAACTTCAGAAATAGTATCCATATATACATTTTACAATAATGCCCACCTAAACCATGCTGGGATTGAACCATAACAATGTTCTTACACATTTGTTATTTCCTATTTTGTGAAATGAGAATAAATATGTTGCCATCTGATCACTTGCTCTTTCAGCTTTGTGTCTTAATACATAATTCTTCTATCTCAGTGACTGCCTGCCTTTTTTGAGGATTTTCACCTTTTTAACACCCACAGAATATTGTGTCCTATGACTATGTGAAATCTGAAACCAGATTCTGAAAGACTGGTCTGACAACTTTCATCATCAAAGTAAGTTTGTTTCTAGCTTCTTTCCTTCTTCTGTAATCCCCAGTCAAGTAGAGGGAACTTTGAATGAAAGTTAAGAGAGCAGGATTTAACCCCCAGAAGAAGGACATTGATGTAGTAACATATTTACTGTATTTATCATAATACAACTTAAAATTGGCTCTTTGTTTTATTTATTTATTATTGCCATGCCCACCACTAGTTGTCGGAACAGCTAGATAAGTATAACAATTACGCAGCATAATTAAACATATACATCACAGTAAGTAGACTGGTTCATAGGTTTGTGGGACTGAATTAAGAGGAATTGCAGACAGTGCCAGAATTATATAAAGTTTAATCGTGTTTGACTAGTTTTCCTGTTCACATAAAGACAACAAAAGCAGACCGTGTGTAGATGTTGGTAGGACAAATTACACCGAATATCCAGGAAAGGAGCTTAAGAGGAGCTATAGTGTTCCTGTCCCGCTCAAAGCAGAGGGACAGGAATCTGCGGGGCGAGGATTAAGCCCAACACCACTGGATTAAATGGCTTTGGGAACTGTCTTCTCATACATCTTAATAGAATTCACAAGTCTCGGTGTTTAGGCGGACTCTGGATGGACAAGCTTTCGTTTATGTGAAGGAGCCAAGGTGAGGGTTGACAACTGGCTTACAGCGCTCGCAGGAACTAAGGCCAGGATTGTTCAATTAAAGTTAGTCATGAAGGAGAGATACGACTGGGGGTATAACTGGGGGGCATGATCAGATCTGCAAGTGTGGACCACAAGTAAAAAACTTATTATATAGACAAGATTGCCTTATATACATGTATACAGTATATGGGTGGATGTACAGTGAGGGTGGATCAGTCTGTCGTTGAAGCTGCTCTCCAGAACATACAGAATAGAACAGCATAGATCATCAGACTTTATTGTTTCATTTTTTAAAATGTATGTCAGCAATTTGCCTGATGAAGGTCTCAACCTAACATTTTCCAATATATATATATTTTTTGCAAGGACAGCAGTGTGTGGGAACCATTATTTCTTTCATGTTTTAGAATGTAAAATAACATATTTAATCTATCTGTTTTTTTACCCCAGATTTTTCCCCCATTAATACTTTGTGGTCGAGCAGCAAATGTCTTGGGGTAAAAATCTACGAGTATTCACTATTCACATTGAGAGACAAAGTGTTGCCCATTTGCCTTCACAAAATGGCAAACTCTGTCAGATCAGATATTTTTTCACATGGATTTAGGACTGGACTTTGACTGGGCACATGGACACACACACACACACACACACACACACACACACACACACACACACACACACACACACACACACACACACACACACACACACATACTTGTCTTTATCACTTTGTGGGACCACCAGACCAGGACATGCATTGTGGGACCCAGCCTTTCTGTAGGGTTGACAGCAGCCAAAAAAATCAGGCATGGCCCCCTGGAGGCCCTAAACAGGAATACCACCTCAAAATCCAAGATTTCCAAAATATTGTCCCACACCAGACTGTTACTATACTTCTGGGGACTTAGCAAGTATTGCTATACTTGTGATGCCCAATCTTACACACTGTCAGGTTTTTAGCTACTTTTAGCCCCACACATACACACTGTCAGGTTTTTAGCTACTTTTAGCCCCACACATACACACTGTCAGGTTTTTAGCTACTTTTAGCCCCACACATACACACTGTCAGGTTTTTAGCTACTTTTATCCCCACACATACACACTGTCAGGTTTTTAGCTACTTTTAGCCCCACACATACACACTGTCAGGTTTTTAGCTACTTTTATCCCCACACATACACACAGTCAGGTTTTTAGCTACTTTTAGCCCCACACATACACACTGTCAGGTTTTTAGCTACTTTTATCCCCACACATACACACAGTCAGGTTTTTAGCTACTTTTAGCCCCACACATACACACTGTCAGGTTTTTAGCTACTTTTAGCCCCACACATACACACTGTCAGGTTTTTAGCTACTTTTAGCCCCACACATACACACTGTCAGGTTTTTAGCTACTTTTAGCCCCACACATACACACTGTCAGGTTTTTAGCTACTTTTGGCCCCACACATACACACTGTCAGGTTTTAAGCTACTTTTAGCCCCACACATACACACTGTCAGGTTTTAAGCCTACTTTTAGCCCCACACATACACACTGTCAGGTTTTTAGCTACTTTTAGCCCCACACATACACACTGTCAGGTTTTAAGCTACTTTTAGCCCCACACATACACACTGTCAGGTTTTTAGCTACTTTTAGCCCCACACATACACACTGTCAGGTTTTTAGCTACTTTTGGCCCCACACATACACACTGTCAGGTTTTAAGCTACTTTTAGCCCCACACATACACACTGTCAGGTTTTAAGCTACTTTTAGTGCAATACATACCAGGACATCTGTACGACTGTTTGGACTTTCTGTTGTTGATAAAGCGACAATTTCTGTTACGACCTCATAGACGACTGTTGTGATTTTGGACGTTACAAAATAAATTGAATTGAATTATTTAAATCCTATTTATGGGGTGAGTATACTCAAATCTGTAAAGTAATAGAAAATCAGACAATATATTTAACAAAATGTAATGTTTATACATTCGAGAAAACAACCCTTTCAGAAGGGTCCATTAGTAGAATAACATCCACAAACTGTTGCCTAGGAAAATAACCCTATTAGAAGAAGGTTCAATTAGTAGAATAACATACACAAACCTATAACTATTACTGTTTACAGTGCCATATACTAATATTGGCATCAGTGAACGTGTTTGAACAAAATCATTTTTAAACCTTTCTTTTGAGGGCTGTTATTCTGTTTTTTACATAAAATTTTACAGCCAACCAATCTCTGGTTTTGAGTGCTTCCTTTTCGTTTTGCAGACACTTATCGCAGTCTTTTTTCCCTGGAACACGACAGGTGGTTATGAATGACATCAGGTGCTTCTCAACAGCGCAGACCTCTTCTTCTTTCCACTTTTCTCTTTTGACTGGTGGGCGGGCTAAGAAACAAGACGACAGAATTACACACAAACATCCACACATTAACTTCAATATGTAATGTACCGTATTTGTCGCACTAAAACGCCTTTAATTTTCTCAAAAAAACTAGAGTATTATGCCCACCTCTAATTTGAGCGACTAGAGCAGAACAAATGGCGCAATAGACACTTTGACGTGTGCCAAGAGTGAAGCAGCAACTTTTGCGTGAAATCAAGGTGTGTTAACCAATCAATTGAATCTTCTTGTGACATAAGGTGAGGAGATGGAACTGCCAGGTGAAAGTTGTTGCTGTATTTTATATTTTAATATGTACTAAAACTAGGGCAGATCCAGCTGATAGCATTTAGCTCATTAAAATGATGGGGGAAAGCACCACAAGGCTATTTTTTACTCATAAACTACAGTGCCTTGCGAAAGTATTCGCCCCCCTTGAACCTTTTGCCACATTTCAGGCTTCAAACAAAAATATACATTTTTTATTTTTTGTCATGAATCAACAACAAGTGGGACACAATCGTGAAGTGGAACAACATTTATTGGATAATTTAAACCTTTTTAACAAATAAAAAACTGAAAAGTGGGGCGTGCAATATTATTCGGCCCCTTTACTTTCAGTGCAGCAAACTCAGTCCAGAAGTTCAGTGAGGATCTTTGAATGATCCAATGTTGTCCTAAATGACTGATGATGATAAATAGAATGCACCTGTGTGTAATCAAGTCTCCGTACAAATGCACCTGCTCTTTGATATTCTCAGGGTTCTGTTTAAAGCGCAGAGAGAACCATGAAGACAAAGGAACACACCAGGCAGGTCCGAGATACTGTTGTGGAGAAGTTTAAAGCCGGATTTGGATACAAAAAGATTTCCCAAGCTTTAAACATCTCAAGGAGCACTGTGCAAGCAATTATGTTGAAATGGAAGGAGTATCAGACCACTGCAAATCTACCAAGACCCGGCCGTCCCTCCAAACTTTCATCTCAAACAAGGAGAAGACTGATCAGAGATGCAGCCAAGAGGCCCATGATCACTCTGGATGAACTGCAGATAACTACAGCTGAGGTGGGAGAGTCTGTCCATAGGACAACAATCAGTCGTGCACTGCACAAATCTGGCCTTTATGGAAGAGTGGCAAGAAGAAAGCCATTTCTCAAAGATATCCATAAAAAGTCTGGTTTAAAGTTTGCCACAAGCCACCTGGGAGACACACCAAACATGTGGAAGAAGGTGCTCTGGTCAGATGAAACGAAAATTGAACTTTTTGGCCACAATGCAAAACGATATGTTTGGCGTAAAAGCAACACAGCTCATCACCCTGAACACACCATCCCCACTGTCAAACATGGTGGTGGCAGCATCATGCTTTGGGCCTGCTTTTCTTCAGCAGGGACAGGGAAGATGGCTAAAATTGATGGGAAGATGGATGGAGCCAAATACAGGACCATTCTGGAAGAAAACCTGTTGGAGTCTGCAAAAGACCTGAGACTGGGACGGAGATTTATCTTCCAACAGGACAATGATCCAAAACATAAAGCCAAATCTACAATGGAATGGTTCACAAATAGACGTATCCAGGTGTTAGAATGGCCAAGTCAAAGTCCAGACCTGAATCCAATCGAGAATCTGTGGAAAGAGCTGAAGACTGCTGTTCACAAACGCTCTCCATCCAACCTCACTGAGCTCGAGCTGTTTTTCAAGGAAGAATGGGCAAGAATTCCAGTCTCTCGATGTGCAAAACTGATAGAGACATACCCCAAGCGACTTGCAGCTGTAATTGCAGCAAAAGGTGGCGCTACAAAGTATTAGCGCAAGGGGACCGAATAATATTGCACGCCCCACTTTTCAGTTTTTAATTTGTTAAAAAAGTTTAAATTATCCAATAAATTTCGTTCCACTTCACGATTGTGTCCCACATGTTGTTGATTCTTGACAAAAAATTGAATTCTTATATCTTTGAAGCCTGAAATGTGGCGAAATGTTGAAAGGTTCAAGGGGGCCGAATATCTTCCCAAGGCACTGTATATGACGTGACCTTTTCAAAAAGAAGTAGTGTAATTAGCAATATTTTATCAAACATCTACTAATTGAAGACAGAAGCAGAGCAGAGCAGAGCAGAGCAGAGAGCATAAGAACTAGCAAGAGATAGCAGCTCCAATGACTGGGACAAAAGCCTGGATATGCTGAAACCAGAGACTGATTATTTGGTGGCGTAGTTCTGCTTTACTCACTAAATAATGATCGCAAAAGTCTGCTATGGTGACAGGAAACAGCAAACACAGCTCCTCCTAGTGATTACACGTAGAAGCCAAATATGGACAAAATTAACTGGAGCCATTTTTAAGGCGATGGAAGTGTGAACTTCCAAAATCATTTTTTTGTTGCTTTTTTGCTACTTTACCAGTGGAGCTAATCTCACTGGTAAAGTACCATGTGGCGCAGAACATAAAAAGGGTCTCGTTATGATTCTCAAATCATTAACGACAAAACAAGGAATAAAACCAGGATTTCTATCTTTGTGAAAAAGGTGTTGGTTATAGATTTGTTGTTGACAAAACTCTTGTATATTCAGCTGTTATGGTCCCAGCTCGATTCGTCTGCATATCTGGCAACCTGAGTCAGGGAGAGTGCATTACCACTTTTGGACAGATTTTTACATATCGCTCCTTTAAGCGTGAAGAGGATTAATAGGCCAAAACGGAACAGTAAGTATGTTCTGCTAAAATCACACCAGCAAGCCAACCATTTCATTCTTTTTCAGGATGTCTCGGGGATAGAGCTGCAACTAACGATTATTTTGTAATTGATTAATCTATCGATTATTTTTACGATTAATCGAGTAATCGCTTGGCTGTGAATTGTGTAGAAAAAAATATTTTTTCATCACAAAAAGCTAAAGTGGCAACACTCGAGGACGTATTGATGGCGTAAACTTAAAGTAAATGTTTGTAACAGGCTCTCTTTGTCTCATCCAATCAGATAGCAGAATTAGCACAGACAGATATTCATGAAATTATAAAAACAAAGTCGGTTTTAATCAAAAATACTACATTTTCATGTCATTTTTGCTCCGTTTGAGTCCGTGTGAACCAGAAAACGATTAATCGATTACTAAAATAGTTGTCGACTATTTCAATAATCGATTAGTCGTCGATTAATCGATTAGTTGTTTCAGCCCTACTCTGGGATAAGAGACTTTAACTACAGTACAGTACATGTGAAGACTGAAAATCCATTGCCTACATTGGACAACTCTGGCACGACTGAGAACCTACACAGATTAAACATGTATCTTTTCACAGAGGAAATTGATTAATTGTATTACTTTTAGATTCTGTTTGTTTCAATGGCTGACTTTGAGCTTCTGGTGCTGTTGCATCAGGCTTCATTGTTCCAATCTCAAAGTTCTCATTGGGTTCTGCAGTCTCCTCTTCAGTCTGACTTAAGATTACACTTTCTGGAAGACACAAAAAAAAGAAAATTCAGGATAAAAAACATTGCATCATTCGTTTTTTTTGTCAGCCCTTATCTCAGACACTGTTATGTCCTGTAAACTAAATAAAAAATTGGGAAGAAAAACAACACTTTTGACAATAGATTGAGATACATTAAGACCTATTACTTATAATTTGTGCGTGGCTAACTTAAAACTGCACTAACTGACTTTGGGATTTTGAAGCCGCGGACTCTCTGGCCTCTCTCTTTCTGCTCCCCTCCCCGCACCCACGAAGCTTGGCCCCCCCCACACACGGACACCCAATGTTGTTGACGGAGAGCCCTGCTCAACTCTCTCTCTTCTCTCTCTGCTCTCGCCTCTCCTCTTGCTCGGTCTATCTCTTCTTGCTCACGTCTCCTCTCTCTCTGCTCACGTCACTCTCTGCTCCCGTCTCTCTCTCTCTCTCTTCTCTTTCTTTTCTTTTTATGTCCAAGTCTCTCTTCTGCTAGCGTCTCTCTCTCTCTGCTCGATCTCTCTTCTGCTCGCGTCTCTCTATCTCTGCTCACGTCTCTCTCTGCTCACCTCTCTCTCTTGCTCACGTCTCTCTCTCTCTGCTCACGTCTCTCTCTCTCTCTGCTCCACGTCTCTTCTCTTGCTCAACGTCATTCTCTCTCTCTGCCTCACGTCTCTCTCTCTCTGCACAGTCTCTCGCTCTCTGCTCACCGTCTTCTCTGCTCGCCGTCTTCTCTCTTGCTCTCGTCTCTTCTCTGCTCTCTCTCTCTGCTCAGTTCTCTCTGCTCCCGTCTCTCTCTGACCGAGACTCCTTCTCTGATCCACGTCTCTCTCTGCTCACGTCTCTCTCTGCTCACGTCTCTCTCTCTCTCTTCTCAGTCTTCTCTCTCTCGGTCAGTTCTCTGTCGGTCTCTCTCTCTCTCTGATCACGTCTCTCTTGCCTCTCTCTCTTGTTGCGTCTCTCCTCTCTCTGCTCACGTCTTCTCTGCTCTCTCTCTCCACTCGCGGCTCGGTTCTCTCTCTGCTCACGTCTCTCTCTGCCTCACATCTCTCTCTCTCTCTTCTGCTCACGCCTCTCTCTCTGCTCACGTCTCTCTTGCTCACGTCTCTCTCTGCTCAAGCCTCTCTCTCTCTGCTCGGTCTCTCTCTGCTCACGTCTCTCTCTGCTCTCGTCTCTCTCTCTCTGCTCACGTCTCTCTACTGCTCGCGTCTCTCTCTCTATGCTCACGTCTCTTCTGCTCTCTTTCTCTGACTCTCGTCTCTCTCTCTCTGCCTCACGTCTCTCTTGCTCGCGATCTCTCTCTCTCTGCTCACGTCTCTCCTCTGCTCAGTCTCTCTCTCTCTGCGCACGTCTCTCTCTGCTCGCGTCTCTCTCTCTCTCGCCTCACGTCTCTTCCTGCTCTCTCTCTCTGCTCACGTCTCTCTCTCTCCTGCTCCGTCTCTCTCTCTGCCTCACATTCACTCTTCTCTCTCCTCTGCTCGCGTCTCTCTCTCTCTGCTCAGTCTTCTCTCTTGCTCACGTCTCCTCTCTGCTCTCGCTTCTGCTCAAGTCTCTCTCTCTCTGCTCACGTCTCTCTTCTCTGCTCACGTCTCTCTCTCTCTGCTCACGTCTCTCTCTGCTCTCTCTCCTCTGCTCACGTCTTCTCTCTCTGCCTCACGTCTTCTCTCCTCTCTGCACAGTACTCTCTCTCTGCTCACGTCTCTCGCACCTGTTCTTCTTTAAAGATGTTGTTTGATGCGGAGCAGAGGAGTCAGCAAAATAGATGGGTTGTGAGTTTATTAAAAGACGCTAGTTCTCTCATTCTTTACAGCAGGGAGTTTTGAATGTTATTGCATCGGTGATTAAATGCTATTTTATTTTAATAATGTAGTAAATGCTGTCATTAAGTAGTGCCTCCCAATCACCAATCCTCACCGCAGTATGTCTGTCTGCTATATGCATCCGATTCATTTGATGTTCCCTCAACCTACACTTGTTTTAGTTTAAATGTGTACGGCGAGCTGTTTTTCAGTCTTTGAAAATGTTGATGTGGGCCATTTTATGGCTATTAATAGCATCTGCCTCTGTCTGTGCGCTTTAACTGCCGGCACTAGGACCCACTACGTGGATTCGCCCCCTCTCAGCTGTCTTTCGCGCCGATATGAATGACAGCTAGCAGAAGTGATAGAAATGTAAACAATGGCAACGCCGAGCTGCTGAAAAGGGCAAAACCTAGGCCATTCAGTCTGCTGGACCAAGAGTTTGGTTTGTTGTTTGTGAAGGACCGTGCTGTGGTGCACTTTATGCTGTGAAAATGTTGTGTGCAGTACTTCACGTTGTTAAGCGTCATATTGAGCCGACGCACGAGAAGACCTTCCCAGACCACTCAGGACAAATAGAGTCAATTAATGTGCTGGGTCCCAGATATGGAAAACAAGCTAGTTCCTCAGGGTTTATACCACTGCTAAAATCACGGGACAGAAGCAGCTCTCCCTCCCCCCCACCACGACATAAACAACGCCCACCCCAGGCCCCTGATGTTTAGTCATTACGTAAAATTGCACACTTCAATACCATGCACATGTATAGCAGCCAACCTATCTTCTTTTCAAAACAGGGGCAATTCGCTGGGTTTGCTAGAGTTAAAATAAGCAGACATTCATCGCCCAACTCCATTTATAATTTGTAAAACACACGGCAAGAAAGAAAGTTTTTTTCCCACCCATCATAAACCTTTGTATTAGCAATATCGTTTTACACGTTTCTACAGGCTAGCCAACTATTCATTTCAACCTTCGGCACCAACACGCCAAAACCGCATGAATTCAAGCATTTGGACAATAATTAAACATGTTCACACTCTGGCATCATGTTTAAAAAATGAATCTGGCGGCATCCGAAAATGTATAACGGAAACACGCAAACATCGAATTCATTATATAATAAGCCTCTATTATTCTTTTAAATAATGTTGTTATAACACTCCACCCGTAATGCGACTTCTTGGTGCTGGACTGTTATAATAATACAACTCAAAATTGTTCACCTTTATAAGATTTTTGCATTCACTGACAATAAATTGCCAGTTGGTACTTTTATGACAATGAAGGCCATGGGCCTGTATAGTAGTACAAAAACAAGATAAAATAGACGTACAAGACACACAATGTTCTTGATGTATTAATCTGCCCCCCCCCCCCCCTTACGATTGTGTATCAGTTGTTTTAGCTGGACTGACGCCCAATTATCCAATTATAATGTGTTCCCTGTTTATGTTTGCCTGAATCTCACCTGTTGTGAATAAACTTCCATGTTGCTTGGTGTGCAAAGATCCCTGCTATGCGTCTGATTTTCGACATCACTTTCTGAAGTTTCTGATGAAATGTTCATTCTTATTTGATATATTAGTTGATTTGACTTTGAAGTTGTAGTGAACTTCTGACCGTTCAAGTGGCTCCCAAGATAGTTCCAGTACCAACTGAGGAAATTTACTTCGTCCACTGAATGCAAAAATCTGAGTATGTAGTGAACAATTGTGAGTGTCGTTTTTACAGTTTCACCGAGCTATAGTGAGGTCAATTATCAGCGTTAGCTCACTATAAATATGTGTTATGGCAAACAGCTGCATTCAACATTTCTGTACAACTAATTTGCCCAAAAAAATCACTGTATTGAATTTTTACCAACGTAATCGGGGGGGAAAACCGGGCCAAGCACAAAGTAGCCCTTTATATTCTCTTGTCAGTCTTAGGAACATTAGTTCCCCCTCGGGTTCACAGTGTGTGCGGCACGGTGGCTGAGTGGATAGCACTCTCGCTTCTGACACGAAGGTCCTGGGTTCGAATCCCCCGGTGGAAAAGGGCTTTCTGTGTGGAATTGGCATGTTCTGTGTCTGCATAGGTTTCCTCGGGTGCTCCGGTTGCCCTCCCACGTGACCTTGGTCCATGAAATGCGTATATAAATAAAATCCACTGATCTTTTTTAATGTCGGGGAGCTTAATCTTAAACTCAAAAATTGTAAGTTAATTGTAGGAGGACCAGTAATCTGAACTTAAAAAAGTAAGTTTTACAGTCTTGACAATTGCGTAAACTTGAATTTAAACACTTAGTTGGCAGCACTTGGAAAACTTAATGGGCACACAACTAAAGAAGTGTAGTTCTTCAAAACTTGAAAGAATTAAGTTAATGCCTTCAACTCAAAACTCCTTCGAGTGGTTGCTTTGAAAATTTTGGTTGAACTAACTTTATCTTGTTTACCAGTGTGCATGACCAGAAGTCCAAATAAAATAATGGACCATTGCTCCTGCAGCGCCCTGAACAGGGACATGCGAGGTGCGCGGGTCGGCCGAAACCCGACAGTCAACCCGCGGGGTCCCGCGGTTTTTCGGACGGGTTGGATGCCTCAAAAATATGAGTCATCGGCAGGTGCGGGTGGGTCGGGTCAGAAAGCTACTGATCCCTTATATTATTATATATGTGAGCCACGGTATGGGAGTCCCTTTGAGTACATTTGCAATCGCGCAGGGAGGATGTTAAACAAAATAAATCATGCCTGAACAAACAGGATCTGCTCCTTTGACTCCCGCTTAAAAGCACTCCAGAACATCCTGTGAGGACAGACGTGTGATCTACACCGAGGCCCCGAGCCTGATGACGTGGGGCCTAACAGCAGAGGCCTAAAGCAGGCGGCCTCATAACTTTAATTAGCAATGAAAGACTCAGTGGAAACCCGCTGTGGTGTGAAAAGAGGTCGCCGTCTTACTAACTTCGTCTCTTGATTTGACGCCAGAAAATAAGCAGAAGTTATAGCCTACCACCACTATCAATCAACTATTTTTTTCATAGAGCCATAAATGTGTGGATTGTTCTCGACTATTCCGTTTCATTTCCTGAGATATGAATTAATAAGTTGCACCAGAATATGAGGCAGAGTGGGCCACAGATCGTCTGGACTCTGAAAA